GCTTTTTTTCTCACGGCAGCAAGTGAACATCTTCACTTGCTTTTTTTCTCACGGCTAGCAAGTGAAGATGTCCACTTGCACTATTGTCATAGTAGGATTGAATGGAAAAGGCCGGTGCATAGTAGGATGTCGGTGCCATCTTAGTGTCTCTACTACAGTCATAGTAGGATTGAATGGAAAAGGCAGGTGCATAGGAGGATTTAAGCAAGTGAGGATATCCACTTGCTTTTTTTCTCACGGCTAGCAAGTGGAGATGTCCACTTGCTTTTTTTCTCACGGCAGCAAGTGAAGATGTTCACTTGCTTTTTTTCTCACGGCTAGCAAGTGAAGATGTCCACTTGCACTATTGTCATAGTAGGATTGAATGGAAAAGGCCAGTGCATAGTAGGAGGTCGGTGCCATCTTAGTGTCTCTGCTACAGTCATAGTAGGATTTAAGCAAGTGAGGATATTCACTTGTTTTTATTCTCATTCACTGCCTTGTACACTTGTGTGAGCACGGAAGTGTGAGAAGACCTCCAGACACTGCCACAGTTCTGGGCGAGCTGCTCGCCCAGAATGTTCCCACAGGTCACAGCCACAATTCTGGGCGAGCAACTCGCCCAGAACGTTCCCACGGCCTCCAAGTACTGCCACCCGGACCTTCCCTATGGTCACACTGCTCAACTGGGGAACTGTACAGCCTTTCCTTTTATGGGTGCCATGGAAGTTGAGAAGGTTGCCCTTCTTCCAGACTTGTACCCAGCCATCTCCGCTATGGATGCACAAAATCTGGACTAAGTGGTTGTTATTGTTGCGAGTTGATTTCCGGAGTAGGTGATCGGATTTGTGTTTATGTCTGTCACATGTGACTTTTGTATTGTAATGGTAGCTATTTAAATTGTGAGGCTATGCAGACACATTTTTTTCTCTTGGGGTGCAGGAAGGATTGAGGTGGGGGGAGGGAGGGCCCACTCTTCCCTTACTAGATAACAATCCCAGGTTCTCTTACCTGTGTCCAAGGCAGGGTTGTGTTGTGCCCGATAGCGCGCCGTTGGGATATCATAGCACAGCATCCCTTGGAACCCTGCATCCTTCCCCCGAGTCGAATCCCTGGTGTGAGCCAATCCCGTGGATTCGCCCTCGAAGGGGCTTCGAGGGAAATTCCCACACTTTACTGAATTGATTTTTTGTTCTCACGACCCCTTCGAGGGCATTCCCACGACCCCTTCGAGGGAGTTCCCACGCAACATTTTGAATACTCCCTTCCTTCCCACAGCCCGGTAACTCCCTTCATCACATCACTGAGCAACACACATCGTCCTCACTGTTTCCCACGGCCTACAGAGTTGTGGCTCGGCAATTTCCGATACTCTCGGAATAGGAACCGACAACATTTCTCACGCTACTGGTATTGACCCCGTGACCCCAAACTCAATAGAACGCCCCCAGTGCCGCTAAAAGTGTTGTTATCAGGCTTGTCTTCACGCTTGGTCCTATTGGGTTGGGTTTTGGCAATTTCCAAAACTCTCGGAATATGGACCGGCAACCTTTCCCATCCTATTCCCGTTGATCCCGTGACCCCGGCTTCAGTAGGATTCCCTCGGTGCCGCTAAACATCTTGTTCACAGGTTTGGCCTGTTTATCATGTGCGCAATGGTCTGTTAGTTCTGGTGCTTATGGGTTCCAGGGCTTCTTGATCGAGTAATGCTATCCATTTCACATATTATTTCGTATCTTGTATATTTTTCTTCATATTTTATGTGTACACTATTAATTGCAAAATTATATTTTGCCTCCTTGTTCGCATATTGTACTAGCCATGCCGTATTTCTCATTTCTCATTGCCCACCGGGGGTTGGGTTTGCGTAGTGGGTTGGATTTGCGTGGGGCTGTGGTATGGTGTGCGGGCTATTGAAAAAAAAAAAAAATCCCATGTAACATTTAGCGTGAAGTGAGACAGCCCCCGCAGCGAAGCGAGGACTGGGGGCTGGGGAACGAGCGGAGTACACGCGAGTAGGGTTGGGTTGGGTTATAGGATGCTTTTTGGACTGGGATGCTCATTGGATGCTCGACCTTGGGGGTCAGACTTTGGAGGTGCTGATGTTGATTGGAGGTCTTACACAGCAAAGTGCTGACACTGTCGGCACTTTCTGGACCAGGTCTAACTGCACTACCACCCACTATGGAGGTCCACTGGGCAAAGTGCCGACAGTGTCAGCACTTTCTGGACCAGGTCTGACTACACTGCCACCCAACATGGAGGTCTACATGGACAAGTGCCGACACTGTCGGCACTTTCTGGACCAGGTCTGACTGCACTGCCACCCACCATGGAGGTCCTCTGGACAAAGTGCTGACAGTGTCGGCACTTTCTGAACCAGGTTTGACTGCACTGCCACCCAACATGGAGGTCCACATGGACAAGTGCCGACAGTGTCGGCACTTTCTTGACCAGGTCTGACTGCACTGCCACCCACTATGGAGGCCCTCTGGACAAAGTGCTGACAGTGTCGGCACTTTCTGAACCAGGTTTGACTGCACTGCCACCCACTATGGAGGTCCTCTGGACAAAGTGCTGACACTGTCGGCACTTTCTGGACCAGGTCTGACTGCACTGCCACCCAATATAGAGGTCCTCTGGACAAAGTGCTGACAGTGTCGGCACTTTCTTGACCAGGTCTGACTGCACTGCCACCCAACATGGAGGTCCACATGGACAAGTGCCGACACTGTCAGCACTTTCTGGACCAGGTCTGACTGCACTGCCACCCAACATGGAGGTCCACATGGACAAGTGCCGACACTGTCAGCACTTTCTGGACCAGGTCTGACTGCACTGCCACCCACTATGGAAGTCCTCTGGACAAAGTGCCGACACTGTCGGCACTTTCTGGCCCAGGTTTGACTGCACTGCCACCCAATATGGAGGTCCTCTGGACAAAGTGCTGACAGTGTCGGCACTTTCTGAACCAGGTCTGACTGCACTGCCACCCACCATGGAGGTCCACATGGACAAGTGCCGACACTGTCAGCACTTTCTGGACCAGGTTTGACTGCACTGCCACCCAACATGGAGGTCCACATGGACAAGTGCTGGCACTGTCGGCACTTTCTGGACCAGGTTTGACTGCACTGCCACCCACTATGGAGGTCCTCTGGACAAAGTGCCGACAGTGTCGGCACTTTCTGGCCCAGGTTTGACTGCACTGCCACCCAATATGGAGGTCCTCTGGACAAAGTGCTGACAGTGTCGGCACTTTCTGAACCAGGTCTGACTGCACTGCCACCCACCATGGAGGTCCACATGGACAAGTGCCGACACTGTCAGCACTTTCTGGACCAGGTCTGACTGCACTGCCACCCACTATGGAAGTCCTCTGGACAAAGTGCCGACACTGTCGGCACTTTCTGGACCAGGTCTGACTGCACTGCCACCCAATATAGAGGTCCTCTGGACAAAGTGCTGACAGTGTCGGCACTTTCTTGACCAGGTCTGACTGCACTGCCACCCAACATGGAGGTCCACATGGACAAGTGCTGGCACTGTCGGCACTTTCTGGACCAGGTTTGACTGCACTGCCACCCACTATGGAGGTCCTCTGGACAAAGTGCCGACAGTGTCGGCACTTTCTGGACCAGGTCTGACTGCACTGCCACCCACTATGGAGGTCCTCTGGACAAAGTGCCGACACTGTCGGCACTTTCTGGACCAGGTCTGACTGCACTGCCACCCAATATGGAAGTCCTCTGGGCAAAGTGCTGACACTGTCGGCACTTTCTTGACCAGGTCCGATTGCACTGCCACCCAATATGGAGGTCCTGCCAACACTGTCAGCACTTTCCAGACTGGTTTGACTGCAGAATATGGAGGTCCTCTTGGACAAGTGCCAATGCTATCATCACTCTCAGGACTGGCACATGTTAGTTTCCATATTGGGCCACTTTCACAGTATTTTCACCATATCTCCCCCAGTTCTTCTCCGATCCAGATGGATCTAGTATCGTTGGAAAGCTATTGTCAAGGCGAGTCCAACGAGTCCAAGCTTGGGAGATTTAGTACAGCCCTTGTGGAGATGGTCATATTCTATCCATTGTGTTGCTACTCCCATATATCTATTTACTTTGTTCTTATGTTGTTCTTGTAATAACTGTGCAACGCGATACTTGTATTGGTAAAGTATCGGCTGCCAGAGCAAGTCCCATCCTTATATACATAAATGTGGGCTCTACGCCACTGAGGTGAAACCGAGAGTATCAAAGTGCGAAAACAATGGTGAGTAACAACACAAAGGGAAAGAGAAAGGTTGGGTGGCGATCACGCCTCAAAGTGCTCCTGCCTCCCAAAGCAAGTGTGTGCAGCCTGGGTACCTTGCCTTGGCAACCTTTGTGCCAGGCAACCTTCGGCCCTGACCGCAAGTGGCGTTGGGCTGCAGTTTCCAACAGTTCTGTCCATTTCTGTCTGTCCCCAACACCATCAGATCCCTTGGACATTAGCTTGGATCAGCTTTGGTTATATGTATCTATACAGTGAGTCAACACTGCAGTTTCACTCCCCCTTTGTTGCCTGTGTGTGTGAGGATGGGCTGATGAGCCTCCATTCCCACTATGGAGGTCCTCTTGAACAAGTGCCATTGGGTCATAGTGTTATAATCGCGGTGTTATAACTTATAATTGCTGCATTGCAGCCTGACCTCTCTCTGAGTGCGATATCACAATGTCAATAGATATCGCACTCAGCTCTACACATCATACTTATATACATCTCTGTGTGGCACAAATGAACAAAGGCTAAAGCATTAGGACAACGAAACTTCCCATAAAAATCATAACAACAAGGGCATCCAAATGCCACTTCAACACTTCCCCTCATTCCGATGACCATACATTCCTCCAGTTCTGTTGGCAGGACATATCAAAGTTGCATGCAGCAGTGGTGGCCATGAGTGCATAGATCAGGAAGTGTAGCAGGCATGTTCAGTGGGGGAATGGTGACATCGGCATGTACAGTGATGAGCAGGAATGGGTAGGAAAATGGGTAGCGGCAGACAAGACATCATGTTTCGATTGGAAGAACAAGCGGTGTCAAAACACAGACAGACAGCCAGCAAAATGCAGCTAGCATCGGCAGCCTACAGGGTAATTTTCAGAGATTACACTCAAGTCACCCAACTGGCAAGGCAGGGTGATGTCAACACAGACAGTGCGTGAGCAAGCAGCTAGCAAACACAACTAGCAAGGTGGTGTTGACATTGGCAGTGAAAATTGCAAGCCCAATGGCAGGGCACAGGGCAGTTACAGAGCTTTATCCTCAAGTGCCCAACATTTGATCACAAGCCCACACAGAACAGTCCAATCATCGGTGAGGTTACAGGACACTCCGATCACAGTAAGCAGGGTGGCATAATACATCAGCGCATCATCTGCAGTGCATTTCGATTTTCCCTTCAGCAACATCGGGTTGCTACATCAACCCTTCCCCTCAACCCGACATCCATACATCTCACTTTCTCCACTGTGGTGTCAACAGGCACAGGTGACACGGGTACAGCGACTCGACAACGAGGGGGGAATGGCAAGAGGGACGGTGGAACAACGGGCAGTGACAGTGCTGACACACAGACAGTGGACAGTGGAAACGGCAGGGGGGACAGTGCAGAGAATGGCACAGACAGCGCTTGAGCAACACAGCAATACTTCCCCTTGCTCAAAGTGCCTATAGCGTACAGCGAGTACAGCCCACAGTGACAGCGCTATTACAGCGCATAAACAGGTCTAGATGACTAGATGACAACAGCACAGCGGTGCTTATCGTCAATGGGCCTCCTCAAACACAGGGCAATCATACAGCAAGTATGACACAGATACTAGCAGGGTGATGGCCGACAGCACTGGCGCAGTGTGCGTGACCATGGGGATGTGCAGGGTTTTTCAAAGCTTCAACAGCCACTGTACGCACTCACAGCAATGTAGGCATGACACGTTGATTGCGCACAATTCACAGACATGGGGCATAGCAGTGAAAGCAGCATGTGTCAAATGGTCGCAGGCAGCCTCAGCATGGATGCACAGCGCATTGAGGGGGGTGGGCAGCAACACTGGAAATGGCAGTGGTAATGTGGGGAATGGGGAGCAGGGAACAGTGGTGGCAGCAACAATGGCTGCGCTTTGAGCACTCGATCAGCTCATAATCTCCCTCCCTTGCTCAAAGTGCCTGTTGGTCCCAAGTGCTCAGCTTTCGCAGTGATGGAGCATATGGAGCGCCTGTATGTCAGCAATGGCAGCGCTTGTCAATAGCACACAGAGAACATGGGGATCGGTGGCACAGTCAACCCCATACAGGCAGTGGCAGTAGCGCGCGGTCAGCATGCTGAAGTTTCACTAACCTCAAGCACCCCAACTGCTAAACAAACAGCAAGTGTGACTAAGCGTAAGAAACAGAACACGGAAATGTCTCATCTGTGGGTTTTTACTGAACCCTCAAACAGCACGGGAATGTCTCATCCGCAGGCATCATGGGCAGTGCTTAACAACAGTGTGCAGATGGGGTAGGCAGCGGTTGCATTATCAGATGTGGTCCAGAAGGTATTGTGGGTGAGAATGTTCGCATCAGGAGGCACTTCGGATGCGATCTAGGGGGGTGGTTCGGTTCTGAATGTCACAACGGGAAGTCCTTCGTTTGCTTCGCTCATAACTCCTGAAGTAGTGAGCCGTTCACCTCTACACTCAGTACGTAGATAGCCCTAATCTTCCTCTATCGGACAAGCGCAAAATCGTGTCTGAGCGATTCCTAGATGGCGCTCACGTCGAGGTTTACTTCTGATCATTAAAAATACATGTTCTCGATGACAATCTCCCCGACTTCTTCACCAATCCCAGCATTATAGGGCTCGTTACAATCCTGTGATCAACCCGTTCTCTTATTAGGGAAAAACGCCATTTGGTAGTGGTGCGTGGCAGGGTGTGCAGGAGCAGGACAACTTCAGTAGCGCAAGCGACAGCGCACAGGCAGTTGCGGCAACAGGGATGGGACATGGTTGGCAAGGAGCAGAGAGGGTAGTACACATGCAGTACTAGGTCGAATGTCAATGGAAATAGTTCAAGCATCCCAACAACAACATCGATGGCTAATCCACATCAGCAACACATCATTGCATGGATGATCGGGCACCAGACACATCGCATTGGTCAGCGAAGTCAGCTAGGATGTATTGATGGCAGAGCATGTGTGGCAGCCACCAGTCATGGATGTGGCGACAATGATGGTCAGGTGAGCAGTAGGGCAAGGGGGGGTTCATCTCAGCATGGCAAGGCAGCCCAAGTGCTGGGTACATTGGATCGCAAGCAGCCACCCCTGCACAGGTGGGTGCGGTGCATCATGAGGACAATTCAGGGATCATGTAGGATGGAGTGGAAGGGTCCAATGACAGGGCGGTTCCAATGGCAGGGCAGTTCCAGCAGCAGGATGGCCAAAGAGTGGCGGTGGCAAACAAGCAGGAGATGGCGATGTCGGAGTGGGGTCAGTCGGCACATAACAGCAACGGCTGCACTCAGTGGACATGGAGGTCAATGGCAACACCAGGAACAGCTGCACTTTGAGCACTTGATCAGCTCACAATCTGCCTCCCTTGCTCAAAGCGCCCAGACATAACGTGCTCGGCAGCAGCAGGGCGAGGGGGATGGCAATGGCAATGACGGTATAAGCAGTTGGGGGGCATCAAGTGCAGCAACAGTAACGGTGTGTCAGATGGTGGCAAAGGGGGTGAACATGGGGGGCGATGAGATAGGCACCCAGAGTCATTGTTTACTTCGTTAATAACTCCTGCAATAATGCATCACTCTCCTCCAAACTCGTCATGCAGATAAGCCCGATTCTCCTTTATCGAAAGAGCCCAAGATCAAGTGATTCGTAGGTGGCGCTGGCATCGAGTTTTTAGTTGAATCTTTCAAAATGCGTCCTTTTGCGTCGATCTCCTTCAGTCTTTCATCAATCCTGACGTTCAAGAGGTTGTTCGAATCCTACAAAAAACCTCTGCAACTTCTCTTATTTCGCCAAATCGTGATTCCTACTCATTGGCATAGAATGCGCGTCGGGAAGGTTGGAGATGGGCAAGTGCCAACAGGCACTTTCAGGGCATTCAGGAGGGGGGGATGACAGGGCAGTTGTGCCCAAGCAGTGGACAGGTGGGTTGGATCACAAGCAGCTGCAGCAGGTGCACTACTCTGTGAGGTCCGTGTCGTGGGGCGGCATGGCAGCCTTCATTGTCGCGAAGCAGTGATGTTGAACAAAACACATGTCAACATCGGTACAAATAGCAGGCATGTGGGCAGTGGAGATAGCGAAAGAACAGCGCAAGCACAGCAGAAAACATTCAAAGAGCGGTAGTGTCAAACGAGCGGCGGAGTTGACTGGGGGTTATAATCGCAGTGTTACAACTTATAATTGCGGCATTACAGCCACATGTAGAAACCCAGATTTGACAGGATTCCATCAAATTTTGTATTGTGGGTCAAGGGAGTAAGGGAAACAGGGTGGGACTCACATGAGGCATTGCAGTGTAGGATCTCACAAATCCAATGCACCTTAGTTGGATTTGGTCAAGAAATGAGGGAGAGCATCCACAATAAAGATTGTGTCTCATGCCTGCCAAAATGTGTATTGCCTGCATTCTGCCATGTCAGGGGCTTGACATCCATGTGAAGATAGTTAATTACATGTAGTATCAAGCCAAATCAGTCTTCCATGCCCTCATCTTGTAGGATGGGAGATTTCCACACCCCCCTCCTAATCAGATTCCCATCCCACATAGCCTTGTCATCCACCAAGGGATTGAGAATGAGCACAGGGAGCCTTGTTCCAGCCCTGTCAGCAGGGAAAGTGTCTGAACTCCGAGGGTTGGCTGTAGTGTACCACATTCGTGAAAGATCTGAATATGGTACCCAAACGAGTTTGGAGTATACTGTCTCCCAAATTTTCTCTCTGATACGATTACCACCAGTACGGTCAAACTTTATGATGAATTCCCACCAAGAGATGTGAAATGGATGCCTCTTCCATCCTTTGCCCCCATCTTTGAACTGAATACGCCCCCCCTGTCTCCTGTCCCGATTGTATTTGCCCTGCATTCTTGGTGGTTCCCATTGGAGGTCTGGAGGTGGGAAAGTGAGTTGGAATGCAACATGAAACTCGGAAGGGTTGCGCCTTCGGAGGTGAGCTCCAATGAAACCACTTTTATGCAGATCTGGTTCCACAAAGTACTCCATACCAGGATGATCGATAGGGTTGTCTGGATCACGGACGATGTGATAGAACACATCAGAAGATGGGGTCTGTGGTACTGGGATGGTCTGCAGGACGTTGGAATAGAAATACTGGATAATCTGGTGGAGAGACTTTGTGTAAATTATTGAGGTGGTCCCTTGAACAAGCTGAGGCACAGAATGGTGGTCTTCAACAGAGTAGGCAGTCCTCAGGTGCTTGATATGGTGCTTCTTGAGTTTGACATGAAGATCGGCTGGAAGCTCATGTTCTGGTTCGAGTACAGGGGGGGCTTCTGTACGGTGAGGTCTGGGGAGACGGAAAGGGGCTCTTACTGCAGTGTAGAGGGTGGCTGAGAGCAGTGTTTTGATCTCCTCGACAGAATAGCCCAGGAGGTGGTTAAAATGGTCCTCATCCAGTGGCCACCGTCGTACCAGTCCAAGTGTGGTATGTGCCCTGAATGAAGGGGCGATTCGCCCACGATTGGAGGGGCCACCATAACTGATGTCCCTGAACCAGAGAACATTTCCAGGTGCAAATGGGCGACATTGTTCACCCTCAGCCTGGTCTCTGTGAGGGTTTCTGTCACGTCCATCCAGGACATCTGGGTGTAAGAAGTTATCGGTCACTGGGAGGGAAGCACACATGAGTGCATGCTCTGAGGAGCCTGTGGCAGGCCTGCTGTTGAGCATGTTGATGCGCCATAGGAGTGCTGCAGTGAGCTCCAATGCATAAGGCTTCACCCTGGACTTGGGGGTGGCATTCCGCTGAGCTTCTATGAGCTGACGACATGCACGGGCAGTCAGGAGTTTGAACAACCTAGGTTGAATGGTTAACCACAGTGCAGATATAATTTAACCTTTGTTGACTTACCACCACCGTCGAGCAGGTACAGAGATGGTGCATTCCTCGATAAACTCCCTGGTTATGCCCCTCCTCAATGCATTTCTTGCTTTCCCCAGTGGCACACGAATCTCCATTCTGGCTGTTCCCTCTGTGCGCTCCTCGTTGGCTAAACTCCACACTTGATCCAGGTTATCGAATTCTCGCTGGAGTTTCTTTTGGTTCTTTTCCAGGAGGACGTTTTTCTTGCTAATCTCCAGCATGGGATGGAATTTGTCTGCCCTTCTGGCCACTGCCTTCTCAGAAGCATACCACTGTGCATAAACAGGCAACCGTGCACGATGGGGTAATGCACAACGGCCACCAGCCAAAGATAGGATGCCTGCTTGAACATCACAAAAGTACCCTTCTCGTCCTGGTGTGGTCCAACCCTTTCAACCTCTCCCTGATACCCATGGGCAAGAACCTGAAGGACATCGTGATGCTTGGATGCATCCCAGTGGAGGACGGATTCCCTCCTGTGGATTTCCAGCCCCACATCCACCCATGTGCTTCTCTGCTCCTCTGCCGATAATTCATGGTTGAAGAGCCCAAGGATTTGTGTCCATGCTGTCTCTTCTTCAGGAGAATGGGCATGGGCATCCTCGAAGGGAATTGGATGTGTGGTGCTAAGTTTTATGCCCTTGATCTCCAAGCCAAAGAAAAAGCTGCGTGCCCATTTAAGCCTTTCTGCCTTTATCTGGAGGCAGTGCCTCATCTGGAGGACCAAGTCATGAAGGAGAGATGAGGCAAAGAGTCGTTTTCCACCAACCACCTTCCCATCCTTAGTGCGGGAAAGGATACCATCTAGTAGGCGGTAGGGGGGATATGAAGGGGCAGAATGGGGGATTATGTGAATGATGGCAGGACGCAAGACTTCATCATAAAACTCGGCAATATGCACCTCATCCACCCGGTTGTTGACCATGTTTGTCAGGTATGGAAAAAACATCCTGATAAGGCCATTGTTGGAATATCTTCCTAGGCAGTAGTTTGGTATTTTATTTGCCTCTGTTGCATGGGGCCCCACAGTACAATCCTAGATAACAGTCAATCGCAAGAGACATGTATATGAAACTCAGGCTTACAATGGAAAAGAGGTGTTCAGGAATTTTCACATGGAGGCTGCTTGAACTTGGCAGGACATCCATTGGACGAGGAACCAGGCCAAATTCCACACTTTCAAACAGTGGCAACCGAGCATAGAATCCAATGAGAGAGTCATAGTCTCTGTGAAGAGAGACATCATCTGTGCCTAGTCTGGTTCTCATGTTCGAAGTATTGAGCCTCAAGTAACAGCCCCTTTCATCCTTGCCTTCTAAAAGAAGTTGCTCAAATCCTTCATGCAAGACCCCAGCAGTTTTGCTTCTCTCCAGTCGGAAAGCCGTTCTGACATATGTGTCAGGGCGTGGGAAAACGTTACTGTGACTTGCCGTCGCGACCATTAAGGTCCGCTACTCCAGCGTAACAGCCCGTTAAGGCGGGGATGACAATTGCGGCAAAACAGGTTTCAGCTTCAATGACTCCTTTGTGAGCGTTGCGCCTTGTACTTGATGTGGCCCCGATATTTCAGAGGGCAGAGGGTGCGACTGAGTCAGACAGGAGTGCAGGGGTAACCTAGTTGATTTTCGAACTGAAGTACGAGGTAGTATACAACCGGTATTAAGTGTAATGGAATGAATAGAAATAAGTTGCCAGATCTCACGGAGATTGCGGCAGGCTTAAGAAGGAACGAAAACAAACAAAGAGCGTGGGAGAAGGATGGCCGTGCATGGCTGTCAAGAAAACAAGTGTGATAAGGAATGACTCATAGGCCATGACGGGCCATGGAACAGGTAGCAGTAACGGGGAGGGTGATGGGCTTGTCAAGTCAATGTCTAGAGATCTTCAGGGTCAAAGTCTGATGGGGTTGTTTCCCTGGAGTCCATTAGCACTGTCGTCAGGTGAGGAGAAAAAGTGATGGAGAAAAAGTGATCGGCAACTCCCATTGGCCATCATAACCACCAGGATACAGCTGTCCCCACTGCAACTTTTGCTTTGGGATTACACACCAGCATCAGGTTATAGGTACAGATTGTAGAAAGCGCCCTGAGGAAGCACACCCTGAGGAAGCACACAAAGAAGCGCCATTCACCAAAATTAAATGCAATGCATCACCCCTTGTGACACATTTTCAAAATCTTGTTTTTCCCGATCTCCATCAAGACTCAATGAAACCGCTCAGAGTAGGGATCAATGTACTTGTAGAATTAAAGTGCACATCTTTATTAACAATGTATAACATTTGTATTGACATTTTGTAGTTCATAGTCCCTGGAAGTGTTCTACCGTATTGTTCGGGTCTGGGACCTCCATGATCTTGGAGGTGTATCTAGGAGATCTGTTGTCATCATTGCTATATATCCATGATGCTTGGGCTGCAGTCTAGTCCCATGTGCCATAGGGCTTCGTTGTTGATCCGGATTTTCGGTTTTCCATTTGGAGTTTCTCTCTGGATGAGATGATTAGGCATCCATGCAGCGTGGTTTCTGTCTGAGGGTTGTGAGGGGGCATGGGATGGTGGGATGTGTGTTCTGGTATATTTTTAGTGGGGGGACGTTGTTACCATTGGTCTGGGTTGCCTGTGCATATGTGTACATAGGTTTGGGTGCTTGGAAAGAGTCTACAACTGTAGGGAAGCCTTGTTGGTAGTCTGGTGATTGGTGTACCATGTGGTTGTGGTTGTGGTTGTGGGTTGTATTGGGGACTGGTATGTTGATCCTTGCTATTTCCAGTTGTTTTTACTAGTGAAGCATTTGTATCGGCAAGTTGTTTGGCGATGGTGACTGCATCTGCTTAGGGCCTTCTGGCATTCCCAGTAGTAGCTCATCGTGCATGTGTTGATGTTGAGGTCTGTGGGGAGGTTGTCCAGTTTGGACTTAATTGCTTCTGGGAAGCCCTCCATTTTGTACTTGTCAGTGATGTAACTAGATATGTTTTTGAGGAGGTGGTTGACATTGTTACAAAAATGGGGCTGGAGGCGCCCATTTTCGTCTGTTCTTGGCACAGGAAAGTGGAAAAGGTAGAAGTTGAGCTCATATGATTTTACAATAGATATGGCAGGTGTTGTTATAGATGTTTTCACAGGACATTACTCTCGGGTTTTTGGGTTGATTATTGATTTGTTAAACTTAATACTATACAAATCATGTGATACAGAACCCATAAGAGTCTAAAATGGGAAATTCCCATTTCCATAACAGACATGCTGATGTACTCCATGTTTTTTTGATTGGGGGTGTGTCTACTGCATCCCAGTTCATGTCGGAGGGGTCCCATGTGCTGCCCTTGGGGTTGCTGGTGAGGAGCCTGGGGAGTTACCAGGGGAGTGCACCCTTTTCCTCCTTTTGGTCATGGACAGGATGGTCAGGGCTAGGGCAGATTCTCCCTGGTGACTTGTTTTGGCTTGTGGTCACGATTCTGTTACTTTCATGTACCACATTGTGTGACACAAACAAGTGTCACACACAGTGTTACAAAATGGTGTCACCCATTATGCACTGTGTTATTGTTTCTCCTCTGTGCCATTGATTCATGGCCCACACCTACCAAATCACCCCCACCCACCCCACCCAGTGTTGTTACTGGAACTGTTCATTCCTGGTAAATTCTTATGCCCCCAGGCGCCCCCAAGTACTGGACCGAATTTGGTATGAATAAGTTACTCATGCACAGTTACAGCCCCCAGTGCACTGAGCTAAAAGGAAATAAAAACATGACATGCATACAAAACAAAGTGAGGAACTTGAACAGAGAAAGGAGATTCAACAGTAACATGTACAAGTACAAAGCAAAGTGAGGAACGTAAACAAAGAGATGAAATTCAACAGTACAGATGGAGTAACTACAAATCAGAGGTTCATTCAGAGAACAACAAAAGATAAGGTGGAGAGGGGAGGAGATGGGAAGTGCAAAAAAGGCAGAGATTACTGGGCAGGTGTGGCAGTGATGGTTCACCAGTAAAGTTTGGGAAAGAGCGGCAGGAGGACGTACTCACTGAGAGAGACATGAGTTCAGTTGACAGGGAAGACGGTTGATGCAAGCACCCTTTTATATGCATAGCCTGAACTAGTCGTGAGCACTCTCATGGTGATGGAGGTTCAGTACACACCTCTGGTGTGGTCTGTTCCATGCAGCGGCCCATCAAGTGGCAAAGACTGTGTGTGGTGCTAAGACAGGTGCAGCAGAGTAGGGTTGAGCAGGAGAAGCCTCTGTGTCAGCTGGGCTGGGTCTAATCGTAACCCTGTGATTAGTCTCATGAAATGAAATGATTAAACAACAACTAATCAGGTGTGACTAGGGTTGTAGCGGGAGATGGCCAAAGTGGCCCAGGATGTATTGGCAATGTGCAGCAAACCTGACATGACCTGCATCTCATCAGGTCTATCCAGGTGGCAGGAGGATTGGATGGTGGTTGTAAAGGGATCAACGTAAACATGTCTGCTCACCAAAACTATTAATTGGAACTGGCATCAAATGCTAATCTCCCCAAAAGAGTTCCTTGGATAAGAATCGGGTTTTGGTCAATGTAGATTAGAAAAGCTTCAGAAGACCAGCATCCAATTGCTTGGATGCGAGGCAGCAGCATTCCAGCAAGTGCAAGTGCAGTAGCACCTCCTGAGGTGTCTGTCATGGCCGTGCATTCCGGCCCATTAGCTGCCCATCCTGATGCTGCCCGAGCCCATTCCCGCTACGCGAGCGTGAGTGCGAGCCCCAACCTCAGCCCTATCCTCCCTGAGGACTCCCTGCTCACTCCCCCGCTTGCCCCTAGGCTCCCCTGCACCTGGCCGACTCCCCACAGCCACACCAACCTTCCCACCCTGAGTCCGCCTCCAGCACCATGCCCAGCACAACTCCTCTACCCCCCCCACTTGGCCCCTACGGGGCCGCTACCATTCCTGCACCCGACTCTGGCCCAACTCCGAGTCCAGCGCCGCTATGATACCATCGCCGCTATCGCAGCCCTACGCTCCTTCCTTTATTTATCTGTTATTGTTTGTTTTGACCCTCGGTCATTGCCAGCCGCTATGCGGCCAACCCTGCTCCTTATTCTTGTTTGCTTCCGGACCCTTCGGCCTTTGGCCCGGGTCCGCTTCCATTCATTCTTTCTCCCTATATATATCCTGTATGTTACTTTATTGTACCTTAGCTCTAATATCAATTTGACCACGACCCCTCAAGTCCTGACCCCAACAAGGCAACCCCAGTGAGTCTGAAATGAGGGCCAAGAGACAGCTAGGGGCACAGCACTCCCTTTAGAGTTGCTGAGGCCAAATGCCCTACCCTCGGGCCTTGTTCACGGCATCACGGCCATTGCAGCCTATAGCGGCCCGCTAATGGCGACCTTCAGTGCCGACCCCGGACCAGTGTCTAACAGTGTCCACTGACATTAACATCTGGAACCACCGTGTGCAGTTGATTCAAGAACCATGAGTGTATCAGCACAGTTCCTTCTTGGCCAGCCAGAGCTTGGGTAGATGGGAAAATTTATGGTCGCGAGTTATTAAGTACCAAGCAAGTGCTGACAGTGGGTCCAGCCCATTTTCACCACCATCTAGAATGATTGTAGACACTTCAAAAAAATGGTTGCTTTGCGCATTGGCAAGATAAAATGAGATGTGTGGCCAAGGTGATCTGTTAAAATACACTGAGCAATGGCAGATGGTCTTGTGGAAATCGGTGGAGTCTGGGTCCATGTGTTCCCCCAGCCTCATTAAGCAAAGCCAGCAGGTGAAAACAATTGCAATGAATAAAGTATCGTCATAGGAGGCAGGTTGTGCCAAGCAGTCTCAGAAACAAATGAGGCATCTTCTGTTAGAGCCCTTTTCTGAATGCTCAGGGTGTTGTGTAGCTTCATACAACCACTAAGGCAACATGAAACAAACAACCGTTCCTGATTGTGCAAATCTCTGGCCAGGCCCCTTCTAGTTCCACACAGATCCCCCACAGATAACTCTTGATGGAGGATGGCTGGATGTAGTGGCACATATATACAAGGTAAAACTGGGCGTGAATTCCCTAATTGAAAGTTTTAGCATATACAGCATCCGACAGTGAGAGCCTGCCACAGATTTTCACTGATGCCATGATGATTGGATTGTAAATATTGAATGCATGCAGGAGTTGAATATCGAAAAAGAAGTAGTGGAGTCGGTGTGAATAGCCAAGTGCTTCATCAGTGGCGGTGTTCTAGAAGCAGCCTGGCAAATATCGGAGGCAAACAAAAACAAAGCAGATCACTGTTATCCTGCATATTCCCTCCTGAGCTTGCATCCACATGATACATGTATCTCTAGAGTCTAGCAAGAGCCCTTTGATGACATTATTTGCCTTCAACTGCTTCGCTCTTCACCAGAACAAGTCGTGACCCTGACTGGTGCAGGGATTTCATGTGCCTCAGGAATCAAGGTTCGCAATTTCCCACTTCATTGAAAAGAAGCAGAACCCAGCTGGCCCAGGACTTCCGTTCCAGCACAGGTCTCTACAAGAGTGGTAGTCTCAGGAATGCATTTGCACTCGCATGCAATCTCACATTCCACATGCCAAGGAACAGCTCCAGATGCTGGGCACCTTGTCAGAGCTTTGCCTACATGCACAACCCAATGCAACACACCACCTCCTCGTCCACCTCTTCCAGCTCAAACTCCTTTGCCGCTCTTATACACAAAATGTGGATGATCTTGATGCCAAGGCAGGCCTTCCTCAAATGGATGATAATGGCAGGTGGGCTCATGTTACTCTTCATGGCTCTCTCAAGTATGGTCTTCATATCTGGTGTTCTATCAAGACATGCTCAGGTCATTATACAACCGCACCTTAATGTGTGACATATGTTCCAAGACATGCATGCTTACTCTGGATCATATCACCATGTTCAAAGATGGCATGTACCCTGAATGCACCAGATGCATAGAAGAAGGTGAGACCAGAATCATTTCCCATTCAAAATTGTGTTCTAAGTTACCCTCACATAGCTGCAAGGAAGAAGAGCGATGGACAGAGATGTCACAGCGAACAGGTGTACTTCGCCACCAAATAGTGTATGTTGAGGACAGCCCAGAAGAGGACCCTCTTGCTGAAGAGAAAGGTGTTTTATTGGATCGAATGCTGCTGCCTCACCATGAGTGTTCCTGATACTGGGGACATCACTGGCATTGTCTGGAATCCAGTCCTTTGTGCGAAAGATGAGCAGCTCCATGTGTCGATCAACAGACTTCCAACCTCCATGCCCTGATGGCATTCGCCATTATAATTATCTCGACTTGCTCAAACTCAGAGCCTCAGATGCCTAGTCGTATATGTCAATTTCGAGCAACCCCCTCGTAAGTTGATGGGCTGCATTGATGTTTGGCTCCAGGAAGATGTCAAGTCCTGGTCAGAATGGATCACCTGGGAGCTTAGGAGAAGGCATGTTATTTAGAAACATCAGTTATTGAGCTCCTTTTACATTTTTTGTCTTTCGCTTGTTTGTGGAAATGCAACATGGAAATTTTTGACATGCATTGCATGGAGTGGTCTCAGTGAGAAGGAGAGATGGTCGGACCTCATTGAGATTTTCAAACAGTGTAGGATGGGCTGTGAGGAAGGAATGAATCCAGGTCCAGAATCACAGCGATTGGGAGGTGCAATGTGAGAAAACAATAGAGAGCACATCTGCTCCCGACTGAGAGAGGCCAAAGTTCAGATAGGGAATAAATATAGAGTACATAGGTCCAAATAAGAGAGATCGTAACCTTGTAACCACACAGCAGTATAAGTAGCCAGACTAATAATATGATGAGACAAAACTAATAAAGGAATAAGATGAGTGGAAGCGCTGCATGTGGAACACGATAAGCAGTGAAATGGTGAGAGGGGGAGAAAAAAACTAGGACCTGCTATGGAGAGCGGGAATTAATGGCTGGAGGGGAGGTGAAAAGTATGGAAATTGGGAGGTGAGTTTGAGCAAGTGGGCTTCAGAAGCCAACGTATAATATAAGGGTCCAACAATAAATAGGTTTTTTTTTAGCAAGAATGGAAAAGGAATATGAATTACACACACACCCATCAAAATAGCCTGCCACAACCAGGTGAAGGACACTGGTGTTTGATGTAGACCCCAGATTCCTCAGGTTCCAACTCTTGAAAGAATGCATCATAAGTCCCTCCTAGAAAGGCACTTGCTGCATTCTCCAAATTTTCCCCCAGATTCACCAGCTTCTCCAATTCATCCACTGCCAACAAAATACACCTTTTCTTCAGGTGGAACACTTGCAACTCTTTTTTCAAGTCCCAATCCTGTCCATTGGGTGCACCAAAGAGTTTGAGGTCGCTGCAAGCAACCCTTGCGATCCGGTGAATGTTGGGATGCTCCCCAAAATCCAGGTCCTTGTAGGCTTCAGCACATCCCTCATGCAGGACAGACTGAAGGACATCAGTGAGGGTGTATGATTGGGAGGGTAGCTGGCAATGATCACTACCCATCAATGTAAACCAGTGTGGAATAACCTCTTTGCAGCAAAATTTGAGAGGCTGGGAGTAAGCATCCCAGGGTTTGCTACATGGTGGGAAAATTTCACACAGGTTCTGAAGGGACTAAGTGATAGATTGGTAAGATGTTGGGATAACATGGATGCATGCTTACATAGAACCATTGAGCCCTTCTTGGAAGAAACGGCTATGAAAATCACATAAAATCCTTCATCACTCCAGTAGGCTTGGGGTTACTTACAGGCAAAACCAACCCTTGTCATATCCATGCATACCCGACCCCTACCCGACTTCCGGACCTCCACCCTCTTCACCTCCGGAGTCATACCCTACCGCTGCCGTTCCGATACTCACCTCCGGTCCTGGCAACACACCTCCTTCTACCCTCCCGTCACCCTCCTATGCTTCCCCCGTCCGCTCCGATACTCACCTTCGGACCTGACAACTCTCCTCTCCGCCACTCCTCCTCCTTACCTTTCCCCTCTCTCCTCCCTCTGGTACTCCTCCACCACCCTCCCGCCAAGTTATGACCTTCCACCGCTGTCCCGTACTTCGTACTCGGACACCTCTCGTACCTTTGCTCCGAGTGTTATGGATACGGAGTCTCCAACGACCATATCCGTCGCATGGTCAAGACTTCCCCTCTCTATCGCTCCTCCCCCCTTTCTTCTTTCCGTCCTCAATCCCGCTACCCTATCCTCCTTACCCGTTCTACCCCTTTCCCCCCCCCTCGTGCAAAGCTTTCCCCATTGGGGTTTTGGTGCTGGCCGAGGTTGTTTGTGTTTCGCGGGATTTCCCGCGACCTTACCATTTGTAGATAGTCACGCGTCATGTACGGAAACCGCCGAAGGCGGTTCCCGCTAACTAACAACTGCTCTACAACTGTCTCGTGTACCGTCTTCTGTAACAACCCTCCCTGTGACTCAACTGAACCGTGTGACTGTACAACTCTCAATATGTCTTATAAGTCTGGTTATATCGAGTCCTCTAACGGCCCTCGCCGCGAGAACTCGAGGTCGAGAGTCGAAGACTCTCGACATGTGTTCGTCCTACTGAATCTGTACCCTATGGGTCTTCATCACTCCGCTCTCCCCCCAGTACTCAAACATACGACGTCACCTCACGATCTTGGAGATCGTGAATACTTTGAGGCCCATCTTCCCGTGATGCCGGCACGTTCGCTACACGAACGCCAAGTCGCCGCCCATCCACCGTCTGTTCCCTCCTTCGCCAGTCATCATGTTTCCCCGCCAACGGTACGTTCCCTTTGGGAACGCCAAGTCACCGAAGGCCTACTAGTCAGTCCTCATTGTACGCTTATGACATCAACCTGCTACCGGGCACATTCGCACTGCGAACGCCAAGTACCCGATAGCAACTATATGAAGTTCTCACCCACCTCACAAGTCGCGGACCTCGCACACGGTACGGCTCCATTGAGGAGCGGCCAAGTACCGTGGCTGACCCGTCCGTCCTGGCATTCTCCGACTACCTACCATCAATCCCTTAATAGCTCACTACATCATCAATCGCGATCGATGGGAACTCGATCGTCCACCCCCAGGCAAGACTGGGATCACTCATCGATTTCATATCCTGTTATGGTACAGACCAGATATGACCTCACTCATTCCACTATAAGAATGGATCGAGGAATGGGGAATTTTCCCATCCCCGTAACACCGAGCCTCCATCATAGTCCCTACCTCGGACTTTGACTCCACCTCGGTCTTAGGTCCATTGCATTGGTGACCTCATACTACGTAAACATCATTGCCAATATCCCTCGGACTTTCAACCCCGCCTCCGTAACCTCCGTAAGCTCCGCAACCCCCGAGCTTTGCGGATCGCCTTCGGCACTTTCGCCGCTTGTAATGTATCTTCGTCTTTACCCCCCATCCCTATTTGGACTATGCTTCTTCCCATTCTAGCCAGTTAGTCATCATCCCCACTTCTCCTCATCCTCCTGCCCCTCTGGGCTCGCCCTCCCTACCTCCTTTCAGACGTATCACAGGTCCTACCTTATGACCTTCGGTACCGCTCCGCTTCTTCTACCCTTTGTTCCCGGTTCGGCGTCTTCGTTCCGATTCGGTACCCTTTGTTTTCCTTGTGCTTTTGCCCCCTCCATTATATATATCGGCACTTGTACATATCGTTTTGGTTCAGTCCGAAATCGACCTGAAATGCCCCCTAGAGACTTCCTGCTCACCTACTGTGAAATTAAGGACCAATGGACAAACAGCAATGGCACAGCGCTCCGCTTGAGTCGCTGAGGCCAAGGTCCCTCCACGCTAAGTCTCCGATTCCCACTCTGGAGTCGTCTGTATCGCCCATTCTAACAACCTCATAAAAATCGGGAACAACATCCCCAGCTGCAGCTGCAGAGAAGGCAGCTTCGTCAAAAACAGAATTTATCACAGGACATGAATCTATTTAAGGGCTTCATCCTATGGATGCAGAAAACAAGAGTGAATAAACATACACTTTATGTCCACAGAAGGCCTAACAACAGTGATCCCTTTGAGCCGGATCAGCTCATGAGGGTAGACTTTCAAAGATGAACTGCAAGGAAGAAGGGAAATTTTAATAAAAGGGCCGGCACTGCAGGCGCTAGACCTCAGCAATGTGCTTGAGACTTACAGGAGGTGTTGGTGGAGTTCCTCCGAAATCCTGTTAGCAATGGCTGGGATAGTAGCATCCCAGTAGACCTCCAGGGTCACTTTCTGTTGATAGCATGAGCAGGTGAGAACCAATGAGACATGTCATAGTTCTTACCTCCTCATTGAACTGGACGAGACACAATGTCAACTCTGAGCACTGCAGGATTAACTCTAATTACTTACAGGTGGTAGTTTGGGCCCAATATGGGTTATTTGCCCTTCCCCGCTTTCTGCACCAGGGTGTTGGCAAAGTCCAGGTCCTCACCTAACTTGGAGTTGTCCATCCAGTAGACACTAAGGGAATGCTCAACTACAACCTCCAGTATACCAGGGAGAGTGGACACACAATCACCATGGAAATACTCGCTTTCCTTTTCACTGCCCTCACCGGCAACCTTCCACCATACCCAACCTGAAAGCGCATATCAGTTGCATACCTTTCCCAAAGCTTGTTCATTTTTTACCCTGGAATGGACTCTTTGCTGCCAGATGGCACTGAGCTAGTGTGAGGAAACTGTACGTGACATTGTGGGCATCGGTGGCTGTGGCTGTGTCTCTTGATGGTGGCGTAATCACAGGTTAGCAGTCTGCTGGCTGCGCCCAGTCGCGACCGCTTTTGCATTCACATGCCTTCCCTCACCGATCGCGGTTTTCTCATGATTTATCATGCAACTTAGCCTGAACGGATCAAATCATGCTGCCTCAGTCATACGCTGAATGTTTTCGGTGCAGATGTGCGAAGTGGACCATTCAGTGGAGGTACATACTGAACTTTCACTGTTGAGGAGAGGTTTCATACTACCTAAGTCGTGCCTATAAAGGGGCCCTGATGGCTCCCCTTTCCCCTCTCCCTATCGCCTGGTATCTCGCGCTCCCCTGGTGAGTGAGATCCAATTTGCCACTTGCTTTTCCGGGCTCATGCTTTTGACCCGCTGCCACTGCTTCCACCTGCGTATTTCTCTATTCCCGATTTGCTGCTGCCAATACCGCAATTCTCGACTACATTCCCATCTGCTCCAGCTCCTAGCTTATTTTCTTGTCTCCCTCCTCCTCTCCGATACTCCTCCTTTGCCATCTCTTCTTTTCAAACTTTTTTACATCATCTGTTACTCTTTTTCTTCATTGTACTAGTAACTTTCGTGCTTTCCCTTTGTATGTATGAGAACATGGGTCACACGTCGTGCGCATGTGGCTAATTTCACATGGGCCCTTTGTGGCTGTTGCCCACTACCAGCATTTGTTAGCCCTGATTAGATGGAGGTACGAGATTAAATAAGACTTATGTGGTATTCCAGATAAAAGAATATAAACGTACAAGAAAGTTTTGAGGGAAAACAAAAGAATAGCCGATGTCAGAGAAGAGCACATACCAGTAATACATGCAAACTCGGAAGCAGTTAGAAATCAGGAAAGGATACCAAAGCTGATACATGCAAAATGGGAAACGGTTAGAAATACGAAGAAAAGGAAAAGCCAAAGGGCCCAGAATGTATTGGCAGCAAGCATGGCGAGACATGTGTGATCCATATCTAATCCAGTCCTATTCTGGAACCATACGCTTCACCCCTTTGCTCAGCTTCCAAGCTACTTGTCGTCACAATCTGAATTGCATGAGTATATAAACTACATAACCCAAGAATCAACAGGAAAAACATTGTTTTGCTGAAGCATCAAGTCAATGCTGCTGGCAAAGCGGCGATATTTGGATACCAATTTTGTGTCCTTTAGAAAGTCATCTGCTGCATGACAAAAGTGGCCAAATGAGCAGTCATTGGTCACTGCTGAGAAGTGAAACTTCTTGTGCTCAAGGACCAGGTATACCAGCGACAAACCTGACCTGACTG